GCAAATCATAGTATTTATTATTAGCTTTTAATCAATATCTGAAAGTGTGTTCATGCTGAGAATGTTTCTCGACCTTTTACTGCCACGCTGTTCACATGCTAATAAAGTTAATCTCAGTTAGATCCAAATTTAGTTAAAAACTTCACTGACCAAATTTTCTCGTCATCTCTTCGATAGACTTCTCAGTCTGATGTCTTGCCTATAGCTATATGAAGTGAAATTAGAGCAGTTTGATACGGTACATGGTAATAATGAGAGGGAATATCCGCATGTTTGTAAACATGTAAGGAATGTGTGCACACGGGACACGACAGGCCAAGTATGCGAGCGAGGGAACAGTAGGCCTACAGGGTTTGTAGCAGAGTTTCGTAATAGATATCGGTCTCACAGCCACGCGAGGCCAAAAATCGTGCAGAATCTGCGCGCACACGCTGAGCTATCTGCTGAGCCAACGGCCTGGGCCTCTTGAGGCCGTTGGCTCAGCAGATAGTTCACCGTGTGCGGTGGGCTTAACGGTCTTAAGGGTCTGTACGAGAACGCTTATTTAAATGCAAATCAAAACTGAAATCAAAACGACATTTCTAGGGGGGGGGGGCAAATTTCAGGACTCAACTGTAATTATAAGCAACTTCGACGACTCTTGATCGACGTCCATAGTGAGGTAGGGGTGGGTCTGAGACAAGGCTTTCACGGATTAATTTACCAAAAAAATCACGTTAGGGTTATTTACGATTATTTGACGAAAAACGGAAAATATTAGCAATTGCTGCTTACTTGATATTTGTCTTATTAAGCTAATTGGCCATAGTGCTAAAAGACTTATTCTATAATGGTACTTTTCACCGACTACGACATGTCAATAGCAATCAATAGTCCACTGCAGGGCACAGCAAAGTTAATTAAGAGTAGGCCTAAAGGTATATATATTTCTGGCTAGTTGTAGTTTTCATCACATGGATCGATAAATCCGTACAGCTTCTTAGCTGTATCTTGAGGGAATATTATGCAGTCAGCCCCTTGCAGGGTGATACTCCATTAGGAGTGTTCCCAACTTTAATGTCATTAATGGTCATAATAACATATATATATATATGTATATATATGGTCATGGTCATATATTAGTCTGTGGTTTAATGTCATTTAGGTTAGGGCTAGGGTTAGGGTTAGGGTTAGGGTTAAGATTATCAATCATTAATCATTAATGATATCAAAGTTGGGAACACTCCTAGTGGACTCCAGAAAATACTGCTAAAAGCAAGCGGACTCATTTACGAATGAAGCAGCCGTGAATAGAGTAAAGACCCTTGTTATTAGAGAGAGAGAGGGGGGAGAGATAGTGAGAAAGAGAGATAGAGGGGAAGGGAGAGAGAGAAAGAGTGGGAGAGAGACAGAGGGAGAAAGAGAGAGTGAGAAAGAGAGAGAGGGTGCATGATTGTGGAGTGCGTCTCTCTCTCTCACACCTTGTGCACCCAGTCCTTGCAGTTCTCGTCGTTGAGGCAGCGGTCGAGCGCGTGAGTCGTCAGCACGAGGATGAAGTTCTTCGAGCTGCGGATGCTCGTCAGCAGGTTCATGTCGAACTTCCCCACCTCCAGCCGCTCCACGTCGATGAACACGCGGAAGCCACGCAGCTGCAGGTGCACCTTCAGCAGGCTGCAGAACACAGAGGGACATGGAGGGTTACATACCTGGGAGGGTTACATACCTGGGAGGGTTAACTTACATACCTGGGAGGGTTACATACCTGGGAGGGTTACATACCTGGGATGGTTACATACGAGCAGTAGAAGCAGGCTGTAGGATTAGATGCGGGAGGGTTAAATACAGGCAGTAGAAGCAGGCTGTAGAATAGAGATGAGGGAGGGTTACATACCTGGGATGGTTACATACAGGCAGTAGAAGCAGGCTGTAGAATA